TGGAGCTCCATCCTCAGAGCACAGGCAGTCTCTTCCACTAGAATGTTACCATTTTATTTTTTCAGCTTGAGTACCATCTCTTTCAGCTAAGACAGCCATCTTCTAACTTTTTGGTGTCAGGATCCCTTTATATTCTTAATTACTGAGGACCACCTTCCCCCACCCATTGTAAGAGCTTTTGTTTTTATGGGAGTTATATTATTTATCTTGTAAGATATCAAAACATCTTGGTATTGTGAAAATAGTTTTGATCATTGTTTTCCTCCTGGCTACACTCATTTGGACTTCCTTGGACAACTCCATGTTGTCCCCAGGAATCTCATCACTGGGAAGTCTTCTCATCCTGCAAGTACTCACTGTTCATCAGTACTCTTTGTCCCTCTGATTGGAGGGTGGAGCTGTGAGCTCCAAAACCTCTATTTGAGGAGGGAGCCCTTGGGAGCTCTCTCATTTCCCTCCTAGCTCCACTCATTTGGACTTTGGACAGCTCTGTCATCCCCCTTCTTATGATGAGGCTGTCTGTGCCTTGGATTTATCATGAAGATGAACCGTATCTCTGCTGACTCCTTAGTTATGTCCCTGCCCCAACCCAGGATACAGTAAGTACATGTTGATCATCTTTCTCTATAAGCCACAGGTTCTATTTTGCAGAAGGCCCCATTGGCCTCCAATTAATGCTGATTTATTCTCCTCAAAGCTATAGAGCTTTACCATGTGGGGGAAGAAACTTGATCTTGTCCTAGTGCTGTGTGTTTTGTGGACTGTGCAGAGTCGGGAGAAAACAGTTGACTATGGAGATCTCAAAAGTTTTTCTTCTGGTTTGGTGGGTTGTAGGGGGTCCAAAGGACCACAGTCTGGGCATAGTACTGTAAGAATGAAGGATTTGATTCCCTAGCAACCTCAGGTGCTTTTCTCTTGTAGGGGAAGGAGGCCTCAACCCCAGATTGTTGCTGGGTTGTGTCCAACTCTTTGTGATCCCATTTGGGATTTCCTTGGCAAAGATATTGGAGTGCCTTGTCACTTCCTTCTATGACTCATTTTATAGTTGAGGAAACTGAGGCAAATAGAGTTAAGTGACTTGCTCAAGGTCAGACAGCTAATAAATGTCCTCTTTTTTTGTAGTGACCTAGACATTAACCAAATTCTAATGTTCCTGGAGGACCCCTTAGGTGGGGGTATAAGCCAAAAGAAGATTTTAGATTGCAAGAGAATAAGCATTTGTTAAGTACCTTGCTTTACAAACATTATCTCATTTGGTCTTCACAGCAGCCCTGTGAGGTAGTGCTGTTAGCACCCTCTTGCAGTTTAGGAAACGGTGGCAGATAGCAGTTAAGTGTTACAAAGGGAGTTGTGTGTAAGGCTGCATTTGGATTGAGATCTTCCTAACTCTGGGCCTAACCCTCTATCCACTGCATCACCTCGCTGCCTCCGGATGAGGACCACAAGTTTGACAGATGTTCCCATTGCTAGGCCATAGGCTACGAAGCTTCTGACCAACTCTGCTTACTGAGCCCTGAATCAGCCACGTGGGATTTAGGAGTAGAGGTGTGATTGTAATCCTGGCTGAACCCATCATTGGATTAGGTAGATAAAAATCTCCTGCTCAGTCAGGTGATTGTAAGGAAAAAACAGGGTCCTCTGACATGACTCAGGCCTGGTGATAGGCTGAAATTAAAAGTGAAGCTTAAGCAGAAACGTAGCTCATCCAATTGAGCTCAGCCTTGGGGTTTGCTGGCCTCTTTAAAGGGCTTCCTGCACATCCTTTCAGATACAGAACAGGGCCTGAGGAAGTAGACAAATAGCCCTGGTTAGGCTGAACCTTGGGAGAGAGTCCAGTGCTGAGGGAGGTGAAACTCTGGAGCCTTTGTGGCTTCACAACTTGGAAGATCCCTTTCAGCTTTAGTGTTCTCAGACCCAGGACTCCTATATACTTAGGAAGGAGAGATCCTGGCCCTCCAGGCTGTTGCTGGTTGAGCAGCCAAAGGCAGAGGACTTGGGAGCTAACTGGACAGTAAGCTGGTGGGGTAGGGGGAATGGGGGAGAAAAGGAGGTATGACAGGCTTGGAACATTGCTTCCCTGAGACTGAAAGCTCCTTGTCAGTAAATCTGAGGCCAGCCCCATACCCATGGCTATTTATATGAACCAGCCTGGGGAGGGACATTTGCTCTCAAAGACTGGTTGTTGTTTTAAACTGAGACAGATGTCCCTGTTCTGCTGCTCAGGTGGGGACAGGGGGTGGAGTCTCTCTTGACAGTTTTTGACCCCCTTCCCTAAGAAAGCTGAGTTACGGACCATTGCCTTCCCAGAGAGGCTTCCTTTTCTCACCTAAGACAGTAAGGCTTTCATTGCCCCAAAGGCAGGACCATGCCACTTAACCAGGGGCATATCCACTTTATTTCTTTATTTATAGAGAGAATGTACTTTGGATATTCCTACCCCACCCCTTTCCTGGCCCCTTGAGAAGAGGTTTGGGTAACTGAAAACAAGTCTGTCTAAGAAACATTGGGCAACTCTTCTCAGAAACCTGAGCCAAACGTGGCTAGTGGAATTTGGCACTAAAAGGATCGTAGGTGCAATCTAGGCACTCTGCTCCTTACTACAGGTGTGACTACAGGAAACTGCTGGAACTCATGTTTATTTCCCTTCTCCAAAACTGGCTATATGATGTAGTAAAGGGATTTCTTTCTGTATAGAAATCCCTATCACCCACATTCATGGCCTTCTTCAATTTCCAGTCACCATCTCCTGTTAGCTCAGTATTTACAACATCTCTTGAATCTGTCCCCGTCTTTCCCTGTACGAATTGGAGCATCCCCTCTGGGTCATCCTACTTACCACCTCCTGTGCTGAGTCACCCTGGCAGTGTTCTGATAAATGTTTAATAAAGCCACTTTTCAAAGGAAGAAATGTGCCCGTCACACACTTACATTTTCTCTATGACTTTCTTGATTTGTAACGAACTGATCACCTCTAGAAACTTTTGGAGTTGTATCTAGCTTACCCCTGCCCCACTCCAACCTGAGGACAGCAACCCCAGGCTTAAGGCATTCCTCTTAAATCCATTTTGCCCAGTGATGTCATCAGTCCTATTTCAAAAACAAGTACAAACAACTCCTAACTCAGAAGCCCTCACTAAATGTGTTGACTTTTTATCTAGATAGCCAGAGGACACAATTACCTCCTAACGAAGGTATCTTCTAAAATGACAGTAGAGGACAGTTACAAAGCTTCAGATACCTGGGGCCCACTCTCTCACAAATACAAGTCAGTGGGTGGAGAAGACACAAGTGGAGAGACACATTTCTTGGGAACACCTGTAGCTAAAGCACCTCACACACCCTGCACTGCAGACCCCCTCTAATTCTCTCCTCTCAAGAGTTTCTTGAATCACTTCTCAGGGCATGGTGGCTGTGTTAGCTAAGTCCCTCTTCAAGGTATTGAAACTCGATCACAGTCTCTCAGTTTAGCTGACACCCTGGTCCAGATGACTGCTATGCTCTTTTGTTTTGTTTGTTTGTTTTTTAAGGCAGTTGGGGTTAAGTGACTTGCCCAGGGTCACACAGCTAGTAAGTGTCAAGTGTTTGGTCTGAGGCTGGATTTGAACTCAGGTCCTCCTGACTTCAGGGCTGGGGCTCTATCCACTTCGCCACCTAGCTGACCCCTGCTATGCTCTTTTGGAAGAGCAACCCAGCTCTTATAGGGAAGAGGGTCAAAGTTGCAGAACCAGGAGAACATTGTACATGGTAACAGCAACATGGTGTGATGATCAGCCATGAATGACTTAGTTCTTCTCAGCAATTCAGTGATCCAAGACAATTACAAAGGACTCATGATGGAAAATGTTATTCACATCCAGAAAAAGAACTGATGGACTATGAATGCAGATTGAAGCGTACTATTTTCACTTATTTTTTTCATGGTTTTTTCCTTTTGTTCTGTTTCTTTCACAACTGTGACTAATGCAAATAGATTTTACATGATTGCACATATGTAACGTATATCAAATTGCTTACCATTTTAGGAAGAGGAAAGGGGAGGGAAGGAGAAAAAAATGGAACTCAAAATTTTGTAAAAATAAATGCTAAAAATTGTCTTTACGTGTAACTGGGGGAAAATACTATTATAAATTTTAAAAAAAGATTGGACAGCCAAATTTGTGATTGTACTAAATTGAATTGTCTTATTACTAGCAGAAGTATCTAGGAACCTCTAGATTTGAAACCAGAGGAGAGCCCGCTCCAGAGCTGTCCTGGGAAGGTGGGGGTAAGGGGTGGTGGTGGGGTGCTGTTGTCCAAGAGAAGATATCTAGGGACCTGAGGACTGTGAGATATCTGGGACTCAATTAGTCTGATTGAATCTCCCTTCTCAACTAATCCATTGTGAGCCCTCTAAATGGATTGATCCATAACTTGACATTAATGCAACCTGACTTAATGTAATTATGATTATGAATTTATGAAAAACCTTATAGATTTGGCTTATAGATAAGTGATCCAGGGAGGGAGTGGGTTGCTCACTCCCCCATAAAGCAAAAAGGAAGGAAAATTGAGTGAATTAAGGAGATTAGGACAGCAAACAGTTAATAGTGGGAATTGAGTGAACCACACAGACTCCATCTTATGACTCAATCCTGGGACTAGCTTAGTATCTATTCAGTTATGGGTCTAGTCCAGCTTCTGTCTTGGGAGAAATTCAATTGTGGGAATTGGGACAAAACCTTATTGCGTTGTCTCTGTGTGGCTGGGAAACTGGAGACCACCTCTCCCTGCTGCTTAGAGACCCTTAACCAAGGACCTAGGTTATGCTGACCAGAAACTCTGATCCAAAGATTGATGAAAGGAGTTTTCTCACAATTGTACAAAATCAGTCAGTCATTGTTTCCACATTATAGGTATTTTGGAAGTGAGATAATTTCTTTGCTGAATTCAGGAAATTGCACCAGTTCATTCCCCCCACCCCCAAGGACCCCCAACAGGTTTTTTTCTGACTACTTCCACAGCTGCCCAACTTGTGAGTGTGGACTCCTGGAACATTTGAAGAAAGTCCTTGCTCTTGAGTGGATGGCAGAACCCTACAGGGACCTCAAGGTTCATCTAGTACAGACCCAGAAGCAGCTGACATCCAGACAAGACAGTTGTCCCAAGATTCTGGACAAGGGCTAAGTACATTGTCCTGAGATTTTTTTCCCCCTTCTTTCCTTTTGTCATATGTCCAATCACCAAGGTCCTATTTTAAGCGGGTGCTGGCATTTTCTCTACATCCTTGGCTTCTCCCTCCTTTTTTCCCTTTGTAACAGACAACGGCTAGACAAGACCTTCACTAGGGGCTCTTCTTGCTGGCTTCACTTGATTTCATGGCTGTGACACCCCATTGATGATGGGGAGAAGGAAGGAGCAAGAAATCTCCTCTTGCTTACTGTTAGAAACCCTTCCTTTGAAGGGCTGGCTCTCAGTTCTCTGCTGCTGGACTTTTAGCAGGTTTAGCTACTCTGATGGGAAACCCTTCTCTTTGATTCACCTACTAGTGAGAGTCTTGAAAAGTGGACCCTGAGGCAGAACAGCATCACACAGTTGTAGGGGTTCTCTGCCCTTGGAAATTACTTTGGAATACTTTGATGTGATTTGGTTTCTCCTTTGTATTTTATCTGTGTTCCTGTTGTGAGAGATGAACTCTCAGAAGTAAAGCCTTCTAAAAAGGTCAATAATTCTTGATTATCACTTTCAAAATCCTCCCGCACTCAGACCCTGTTTTTAAGCACATAACAGAAAGAATAAGCCCTGCCCCCCCAACCTGAGCCATTTACCCTTGGTTTCCCGCCTCTTTTCTCCTCTCTGGGATAGAGGAGAAGGGGGGAGTTGGGGAGGATTTCGGTTTCCTAGGAATTGCCTAGCTCTTGGGAATTCGGCCCTAAACCCCTCGCCCCCTCTTGATACGTCAGCATCAGGTTTACTGAATGGGAGTATGTGTGCTTGGATTGGCTATACCCCGTTTCCTTGTCTTTGAAGTTCGGGCTTAGAATGTAAGCCCACCCCCCAGTTAAGGCGAATAAGGGATAGTGGTGGGTGGGGACTTGTTTGCTTTAGGGTTTATAAGGCATCTCCTGTTGCATACCGGCCTCTCTGTCCTACTTGCTTCGAAGGAGAAGAAAGCGACTCTCGAGATTGTAATAAAGGTAACCTTTGCTTTCCACCTTGAAGTCTCTGAGTTTAATTTGGGTTAGGGTTGCTGTCCCACACACTGTTATATCCCTTAGTAGAATGTAAGCTTGAGGGCATCAGTTTTTATCTTTCATATTTGTATCCTCAGTACCCCTCACAATATCTGGTACATAGTAAGAGCTTAGTAAATGTTTACTGAATGAGTGGAGATACTCAGTGGATAATAAATCTAGAGATGGAAAGGACTTTGAATGGTCATCCTTTCCAACCCAGTAATCATTTTACAGATGAGGAAACTGAGCTCCAGAGAGAATCATGCTTTGCATACAGTAGGTGCTTAATAGAGGTAGCTAGGTGGCATAAGGTGCTGGCACTGGCATCGGGAAGACCTGAGTTCAAATCTGGCCTCAGATATCTACTAGCTGTGTGACCCTGGACAAATCACTTCACCCTGTTTGCCTCAGTTTCCTCATCTGTAAAATGAACTGGAGAAAGAAATGGCAAATCACTCCAGTATCTCTACCAAGAAAGTCCCAAATGGGGTTATGAAGAGTCCAACAGAACTGAAAAGTGAACATGGTGCCAAATTGAATAGGTAGAAGGGCCACCCATGAGATCACGAGGATCACTGACAATGTCTAAGCCAACAGCTAAGACATTGGGGATAAGAGGTAGATACTTAAAAGTATTAAACTGAAATGAAGCAATTATGTCAGGGGCTGAGGCAGATGCAAAAATTAACCAGTCTTTTCCCCTTCAACTGTTTGTGCCTTATGGATAGAGAATAGTTGGGAGGAGGTTGAGGACAAAGATTGTTTTTTTTTTCCCTACATGGTCCTATTCTTGGACTCCCTTGAGAGCTATAGAAGAATGAATTGGAAAGGGAATTAATGGCTTGAAACAAGAGGTACAAAACCTTGCCCAAGCATCAGACACCCTGAAAATTAGAAGATATGACTCCATGAGACATCAAGAAATACTAAAACAAAGTCAAGACTGAAAAAAAAATGTAAGGTATCTCATAGCACAAATAACTGAATTGAAAAACAGACCAAGGAGAAAAAATTTAAGAATAGTGGACTACCTGAATGCCATGACCGAAACAAGAGTGTAGATATCATACTTCAAGAAATCTTAACTCAAAAGAAAACAGCTCAGATCTCTTAGAACCAGAAGGTAAAGTGAAAATAGAAGGAATCCATTGGACACCGCCTAAAAAATCAAAATGAAAACTCTCAGAACATTATAACCAACATCCAGAGTCAAGGGGAGTGGGGGAAGCATAAGCTGCAAGCATCCAGAAGTTAAGATAACACATGATTTAACAGCCACCACAATAAAGGAGCAGAAAGCCTGGAATATGATAATCCAGAAGGCAAAGAGTATATAGGCTTTCAGCCAAGAGCAATTTACCCAGCAAAACTGAACATAATTCTACGGGGAAAAAATAGACTTGATGAAATGGAGAACTTCTAAGCATTCCTGATGAAAAGAGCAGTGCTGTAGAGAAACTTTGAAGTACAAATGCTAGAGTTAAAAAAAAAAGAAAACACAAGTGAGCAATCCTAAGTGATTAAATAAGGATAAATGGTTTATATTCTAACATAGGGGAGATGATGCATGTATCTTTTTAGAACCCTGTCATCACCAGGGGTCATAGAGTCTGGGAGTGGTTCTATTATGTTTTGATTATCTTAAAAGAAGCATAAAAAGGGAGGGGAAGAGGAATATCAGGAGGGAGGGGGGTGAGCATTGTTTGAACTTTACTCTCATCAGATTTGGCTCAAGAAGGGAATAACATCAGTTAGGTATAGAAATCTAACTTGCCCTACAGGCAGTAGGAGGGAAAAGGGAAAAGAAAAGGGAGGGGGGAATAGAAGGGAGGGAAGAAGGAGCAAGGGTAAAGGGGAAGAAAAGAGAAAGGGACCGAGGCACTGAGGGAGGCGGTGCTCAAAAGCAAAACACTAGTGAGAATTTGTACTTACAACTTCACTAATGTGAAAATATGTTTAATAGAAATGTAAAAAAAATACATTTCATTCAACAAGGAAACAGGGAAAGAAGAGGAAATAAGATCAAAGGTAGATTAAGGAAAGGATTAGTTATAAGTAAAACCTATAAGGGTATACAAAAATATTTATACTAGCTTTTTTGTAGCGGCAAATAATTGGAAAAAGAAGGTGCTCATCAACTGGGGAATGGCTGAACAAATTATGTATATTAATGAGATGGAATCAGCACAGTGTTTTATGAAATGATAAAGGGGAAGGTTTTGGGGAAATTGGGAAGAGTGATATGAAGTGAAGTGAGCAGAACCAGGAGAACAATTTATATAGTTGCAACAATATTGTAAAGATAAATAACTCTGAAAGATTTAGGAATACTTATCAGGAGCAGGTAGGTGGCACCATGGACCCAGAGTCAGGAGGACCTGACTTCAAATGTGACTTCAGACACTTACTAGCTGTGGGACCCTGGGCAAATCACTTAAACCTTGATTACTACCAAAAGAAAAAAATTCTAATCAGTCCAATGCCAATCATGATTGCAGAGGACTCATAATGAAACATGCTCCCTGATAGGAAGGTGAAGGAGTTAAGAGTGAAAGATTGAGTTGTTGGGTTTTTTTGCACATGGCCAATGCAGTATTTTTTGCTTGACTATATGTTTGTAATGTAGGTTTCTTTCTTTTTCTGTCTCAAGTAGAAAGGGAAGCTTTTTTTTTGCTGATTACAAAAAATAAAATTTAATTAAAAAGGAAAAACCTGTCTAGCAATGAGAATTTCTAGCAACTGATAAAATGTCAGCTTCTTGAGCAGATTATTTCTTTTTTCCTTTTTGTCTTTTATCCTTTTGTCTAGCACAGTGCACAGTAAGCATTTAAATGCTTGTTGGTTTAAAAAAAACTCAGTATTTTGAAGGAGAGAAGATGATAGGCAACTGGAGTTGAGAATTAAATGAGTATGAGAATTAAGTGAGATTGGAATGGGGTACTTAATTGAAAACCTATATAAATATAAAATATTTTTAGTTTTTGTTTAATGTTGACCAAGTCACTTCCTGTATTTGTTTCTCAACTTTCTCATCTATAAAATGAGGGAGAAGGACTGAATGATCTCCAAGGCCCCTTTAGGCTCTACTTCTGTTTCTGTGCAATGACCTGGGCCTCCCTTCCTTTTTAATTATTCTACTTTTAAATTCACATTTGTTATATTGTGATATTCATTGTTTGTCCATTGATTTGTATTTCTTTGCTTCCTGCAACCCTTTCAGGGCGCCAGATAGAAAATATCATCCACTTCTGTCATAGCCTTTTCTTGAGGGCCCTACAGAGACTTTTAGGGGCTACTCATGTTGTTCAGTCATTTCAGTCATGTCCGACTTTGAGACCCTATTTGCCATTTTCCTTCTCCAACTCATTTTACAGATAAGGAAACTGAGGCAAACAGGGTTAAGTGACTTGCCCAGGGTCACACACTTAGTAAGTGTTCTGAGGCCAGATTTGAAATCATGAAGATGAGTCTTCCTGATGCCAAGCCCAATGCTCTTATCCATTGTACCACCTGGATGCCCTTAGAGCTACCCATACTATTCTTTCTATTTCAACATATGGAACTCCCTGCCACAATTCCCATATCTCCTTTAGTTGTGTCCTTCATTATTTTACAACAATCCCTGTTGTTCCCCCTGTGTCTGGAATAGTACCCTTCTCACCTCCAATTCTTGGAACCCCTTACCAAGGCTCACCTCAAGTATCACCTCCCATATTAGGACTGCCTTTAATCTATCCATGTCTCTCTTACCTTTTGTGTCTCAACAACTTGATCCTCTGCAATAGGTGCCTCTCCTTCTTTTTCCTCTGACTCTTCTTAGCTCTATAGCTAACTTCAGATTTCATTATTTAACTGGACTGCTCTGTCCAAAGTTACCAGTGATTTCTTTCATTTTCAAATCCAGTAGTCTTTTCTCTGTTTTACCCTTTGACACTTTCAATCACCCTCTTCTTCAAACCCTCTTTAAATTTTCCTGATACTACTTTCTCCTGGTTCTCCTGCCCTTCTGAGGGCTCCTCAGCTCCTTTTCTGGATCCTCTTCCAGATTACTCCCTCTAAGCATAGGTGTCCTACAGGGCTCTCCTCTGGGCCCCTCTTCTCCTTCTATACTACTTCACTTGGTAATCTCAACTCTAATGTACTAAATTTTCATCTCCATGCTGATGATTCTCAAATCTACTTTTTTAGTCTTAGCCTTTCTGCTCACCTCCAGCCTCTCATTCCCAGTTACTTATTGTACATCTTAAACTAGTTTTCCTGTAAATACATTAAATTCAACATGCCCCAAATGGACTTCATTGTCTTTACCTTCAAACCTTGCCTTCTATCGCCACTGAGGCAGTTGCTATGCTCTATCACTAAGGCTCACTTCTTAGGTGCCATCTTGGTCGCTATCCTTACTCTCACTCTCCCTATATCTAGTCAGTTGCTAAGATCTTTAGATTTTACCTGTCAAACATCTCACACATAAATCTTTCTCTCTTCTTTCACTCCAATATCTTGGCTCTGCCTCCCCTCTTTCTCTCTTCTAATACTGATATCTTCATGGCTGCCCAGACTATTTCAATAGCCTCTTGGTTGCTCCCCTGCCTTATGTTTCTCCCCACTCCTGCACTCAGCTACTGAAGGGCTTTCTAAAGCCCACGTCTGCCTATGCTCTCCTCCTTCCCCTTACTCAAACTCCAGTGGCTCCCTATCACCTCCAGGATCAAACATAAAATTCTCTAGAATTCAGAATCCTTCATAACTTGGCCTTCTGCCTACTCTTCTAGTCTTCTTAAACCTTATACCTCCCCTTTCCCCCTACCCTTCTCCATACTTTGATCCTACACAACTGACCTCCTTGCTATTTGACCAAGATACTCATCTCCTGCCTCCAGGCATTTTCCCTGGCTGTCCCCTGCTTGAAAAACTATCCCTCCTTATCTCTGCCTCCTGGCTTCCTTGGGCTTCCTTCATGTCCCAGCTAATCACATCTACAAGAAAACTTTCCCAATCCCTTATTACCTCTGTTGAGTCTATCTAATTTATCCTGCATTTATATTGTACCATAGTTGTTCACTTATCTGACCTGGTTTCCTTGAATCCAAGTCCAGTGCCCTCTCCACCATGCAACCTAGCTGCCTCTTGGAGGGATTTAGGCTGTGCTTTTGGGGAATATGCCTGTACATGTCATCTTCATTATGGAGAAACTCTTGTTATCAGTTCCTATGACATAAATATGAATTTCTGAACACTCATTGTGTGGTGCTGTACTGGTCCTTACCTGGAGGAATTCAACACCGCTAAGAGATGTCATATGGGAAAGAAAAGTCAAATAATCTTAATGGGGAACATTTATATAATTCTTTAAGGCTTGCATGTTTAAGTGCAGAATGAGCGATACAGACAAAACACTGTTGGAGTTGGCAGAAAGAGGAGACTGTCTAGGCAGGCATATGATCCATAGGTGATTCAACACACACTTATTTATTTTGAGTAGTTACAATGTGCACTCAATTAACAGGTATTTATTAGCTGTCTACTGTGTGCCAGTCACTGTACTATGTGCTGAGGATAAATATAAAAAGAATGAAAGCACACTCATCTGTATGAATGATGATTCTAATGAATAATAATGTCTAAGACCTTCAGCTAGACATTGAGAAGTAAAATGAGGATAATGAAGCTTCCTTGTTAGGAAAGTATTTTGTAAGCTTTATGAAAATTGTATCCATATACATGTGTTATTATTTATGCCAATACATGTCAATCAACAGCATTTCTTAAACACCTTCCATTGTGCCAGAGCCTGTGCTAGAAAGGGAAAGCAAACAAACCTTTCCCTCAAGGATCTCACTTAACAGAGGAAACAACAGATACGTATAAATACAAAATACATGCAAGGTAACTACAAAGTATCTTATAACAAGCACTGCTAGCAAGAAGTAGTATTTAAACCGAGCTTTGTAGATTCTAAGAAGCAAAGCCAAGGAGGAAAGAATTCTAGGTGGGAGACGGATTGTCTTTTATGAGGACAATTCCATTGGAACATAAAATGTAAAAGGGAATACATAATGAGCCTGGAAAGGGAAGCTGGAGCCCCACCACCGGCTTTAGATGCCAAAAGGAAAAGTGGATTTTATTACAAGCTGCCAGAAAGAAGCAATTCAAGTACTGTGGAAACACAATCAGGATAACACAAGATTTAGCAGCTTCTACGTTAAGGGACCGCAGGGCATGGAATATAATATTCTGGAGGACAAAGGAGATAGGATTACAACCAAGAATCACCTACCCAGCCAAACTGAGTATAATCCTTCAGGGGAAAAATGGTCTCTCAGTAAAATAGAGGACTTTCAAGAATTCTTGATGAAAAGACCAGAGCTGAATAGAAAATTTGACTTTCAAATACAGGACTCAAGTGGAACATGAAGAGGTAAACAGGAAAGAGAAATCATAAGAGACTTATTAAGGTTGGAGTGTTTACATCCCTGCATGGAAAGATGATATTTATAACTCATGAGACTTTTGTCAGTATTAGGATAGTTGGAGGAAAAAAAATTGCATGTACGTATATATAGATAGAGGGCACAGGGTGAGTTGGAGATTAAGGGGTCATATCTGGAGAATAAAATGAAGGGATGAGAGAGGACTATATTAGGAGAAGAAGAAAGGGAGAGGTAGAATGGAGTAAATTATCTCACAAAAAAAAAAACAAAAGAAAAATCTCTTACAGTGGAGGGGAAATGGGGGAAGGTGAGAGGAAATGAGTGAATCTCGATCTCGTAGGATTTGGCTTATGGAGGGAATAACATTCACATTCAATTGGGTATGGAAATCTGTCTTACCCTACAGGAAAATAGGGGGAGAAGGGGACAAGAGAGCAGGGGGATGATAGAGAGGAGGGCAGATTGGGAAATGGGGTAATCAGAAGCAAATACTTCTGAGAAGGGACAGAGTCAAAAGAAAGAATAGAATAAATGGGAGGACAGGATAGGGTTAAGGGAAATAGTTTTTCACAACATGTCTACTGTGGAAGTGTTTTGCATAACTGCACATGTACAACCTATATTGAGTTGCTTGTCTCTTCAATGAGGATGGGTGGGGAGGGAGGAAGGGAGAAAATTTGAAACCTAAAGTTTTAAAAACATATGTTTAAAAAAATGTTTTCACATGCTACTGGGAAATAAGAAATACAGGAAATGGGGTACAGAAATCTATCCTGCCCTACAGGAAAATAGAAGGGGAAGGGGATAAGAGAAGGGGGGAGAGATAGACGAGAGGACAGACTAGGGAAAGGGGTATTCAGAATGCATGCCATCTTGGGGTGGGGGGAGGGGGGAGATGGGGTGAAAATTTGGAACTCAAAAACTTGTGGAAGTGAATGTTGAGAACTAAAAAAAAGAAGAAAAGTAGATTTTAATTTAGAAGCAGTAGGGAAGCACTGTAGCTTTCTGAGCAAGGGAGTGACATGGTCTTTTTTTCTTTTTAATCTCATGTTGATAGCTTTTATTTTTATATTCCTTCATGCCCAAATATATTCCACCCTCTCCCCCAATCAGGGAATCATCCCTTGTAATAAAGATTTTAAACATAAGAAAATAAAAGTAAAGATCAGCAAAACCAACCAATATCAACAGAATTGGACAATATACACATTTACACGTTATTCCATACCCATGGTCCTCTGAGAATAATTTTGATGCCCCTACTCAATTTGATCAGTATTTATTCAATGCATTGTGATTTAATGGGTATCAGTGATGTATATTAGTGGAGCCCAACATTTGAGGAGGTTACTAAACTTCTCCTTGCTTTGACTACAGATCACATTACTAGACCTTTGCAGCTTGAATCCTTAGCATCTTGCTGCTCTGACTGATCTTAAGAAAGCATAAATGTCTTGCTTCTGATTTAGGACTCCCAGATCATAGTAAGCCATTCACTGTCTTTGTATGCGAATGAAGGGACATGGCTTCTGGGATCTTAACTCAACTATTAGGAGCCTCATTGTACCCTGCAGTTAATTCAGTTCAACTGGATAATGTGGCAGTGGGCCTCCTGGCTTCCTTGACCTCCATGTCCCAACCAATATCCTACCACCCTTTTAGAGAAAGCATGTGATCTAGTCCAAGGATGTCCCTTAACTGTGCAGTGCCCCCATGAGACTGAGACCGTTGCAGTGCTATCAGACCCAGACTTTTCACACCAGGGGTTTGCAAGGTATGAGATGACTTTGTTAGGGAAAGAGAACATCACCCCAAAACATTGTCCTATTCTCAGTCCTGCAGCGCTGCTCCCCAGCCTGTCTCTGGTGACCTTTACATGACTGCACCTCAGTTGTTGATTTGGCTGGGAAGCCTTGTAATGACCTTGCAGAGGCACCTCCTGAGAATCCAGACTGTTGTTTTCTATATTGATTGCTTTTCCTTCATGAAAGATGGCAAATATTACACTGGAGCCTTGTGGTCTCTGACCCTGACACAGTTCAGGCAGCTCCATTGCCCCCTAACCTAAGTGCCCAGGCCGCTGAGCTGATCCCCTCACTCAAGACTGTCACTTGGCTGCTGAAAAGAGTGCTGCCATTTACACTAACTCACTCTATGCTTTTGGTATTTGTCATGCCATCAGGATGTTGTGGTTGCAACGGAGATTCTTAACTTCCTCTAAGAAAGTTATTGCCATTGCAGACTAGGCCCAGGCTGCTGTTCATTGTTCTGCTTATATCAACGGAACTGACCCTCTCTCTTTCTCCTGGGCAGATGTACTACAGTTAGCTGCTTAGAAAATCTTTGTGGCATGCTTCATCTCAATGACTTTCCATAATCTACCAACTACTCTCTCTTCTCCAACCACTCTGATCTCAAGCAATGGCATCCTGTTCCCTACAGTGATGCCGAGGTTGAAAAATGGAAACAGCAATACAAGGCTAAACAGGTCCCAGGGGTCTGGGTGACTGAGGAAGGTAAGCCACTCCTCCCGGACTTGCATGCCTTTTCATTCATGGGGAGGGGGATGCATTATGGCAAGTGAGGGATAATTGAATCAAATAGGCAGGCCATCCAAGGCCTGAATTGCTTCAGGGTTGCCTACCTGTCCAACTTTTCTAGCTTTCCATCAATATGCATTTCAAGTCACTGCTTTTTGTGGCTGTCCTGTAGCTTATACCCCTTTTGAACACTTGCCAATTAATTTTGTTAATATGCACAAAGCAAGACATCATAAACACTGTCTTGTTGTTGGCAAGCCACAACTGCCTTTGTACACCAAAGTTCTCCTCAGGGAGATTGCGCCCAGGTATGGCCCAGCTGCCTGCATGGACTCTGATAGAGGGTCTCATTTCACTGTTTCTGTTCTCTTTCAAGTGTATTCTAATCTGGGCATCTCTAAGTTGCACACTCCTTACCATCCTCCAAGTTGTGGCCAAGTGGAACATATGACTAAAGAACTTAAGACATGATTGGTAAATTATGCTTTGAAACCCATTTGAAATGGTCTGATGTTCTTTCTCCACTTGGATTTGCTCTGTGTAGCAGACCAAGGTGAGAACTACATATTTCTTCTTATGAAATGCTTTTTTGGTCACCCTCCTATCAATGCAAAACCTTTCCCCCTCATGTATACATCCTTACCCAGTGGGGATGCTTCTGTTGCTTCCTGTAGGAACAATTTTGAAAGAGCTTCAAGATGAAGAACAGTAGTTCAAAGTGGACCTTTAGGCTTTTCACTGCACAATTTCTGTCCTGGTGACATCTACTTCAGGAACATAGGGGTAGGGGTACTTTTTTTTTTTACTTTTATTTTAGTGGTTCTGTTTAGTCTTTTGCTTCTTTGGCTTACGATAGTTGAGACAGTATCTGAACACAGGTGAGGTTTTTCTTTTTTTTTTTTTCATTTTCAGTTTTCAACATTTTCTTTTTTAAGATTTTGAGTTCCAAATTTTTTTTCTCCCTCCTTCCCCTCTCCTCTCCCCAAGCCGGCAAGCAATCTGATACAGGCTATCCATGTACAATCATCTTAAACATTTTGAGGTTTTTCTTAAGCGCTGCTTTCACTTTTGATTTTGCTGCCCTTTATCTGGGGGGACACTCCCACTCCAAGGTATATCTACCTGCAAAGGGAAGGAAAGCTTTGCTTGCTAAAGCAGCCCTTTGTTTCACCCCAAATGGCTGGAGATTATTTTCTATCTGGTGATTCCAATATTTCTGCTGATTGCCATTATGATACGGCAAATGAGAAAAATCATGCAAAGATATAGGTCATATCCCCCATTGTGGCATCATGGTAAACAACAGACTGTGCCTTTTCTTTTATGGATTCCAGTGTCATTATTGATTATTGTGCCAACTCTATTGGGAATTTATCATTATTATAAATGGTTTACTAGTTGCGATGATGATATTCCTGACCTGAGCAGGAGACACATGTTCCAGGAAGGGATTCAATCTAATGTAGTTCTTACTAATTATAGCCAAATAGATGATTACTGTTCCATAATAAAAGAAATATATTTTGAAAATAAGACAGATGGCCCTGGAGTCAGGAGGACCTGAGTTCAAATCCAGCCTCAGATACTTACTAGCTGTGTGACCCTAGGCAAATCACTTAACCCCAGTTACCTCCAAAAAAAAAAAAAGAAGACAGATGAATGTATAGAGACAGATAAAAGTGACACTGAAATGGAGAAATCAGAATGTGAAAATCCTGAAGCACTTTTGGGCATGAATTATTCAGTTATAGTTGAAGCATCTAAAAATATGGAAGGATCTAAGCCCTGTTCAGCTGGGGAATCTATGCAAGTGCAAGTGAAAGGAAGAGTACGAAGCATCTAGCAATATAATTCCCATTATGTTGACTAGTTTATTTTATTGCTGCCTCTTATCCTTGGGGATAAGTATCTACCCACCCAAAATGACAGCTTGCAACATACAGTTGATTTGAATACTATCTCCCTTAGTCACAAAGAAGTCAGATCTGGACTTAGGAGAAAGTGAGGTGATGGTCATAATGAAGAAGTCATTGCAGAACAGCATCTCTTTGATTCTATCATACATATCTGTGCCCCAAAGAATGCTGAGGGTTTATCTGTGCTGGCATAAGACAAAGACATAAAAACCTCACCTCCATTCAGAGCAGTTGTTCCAATAGGGCAGGAATTGTTTGGTGGTTAAATTCTAGTTCTGAGGCAGGAATGTTTTCTTGGACCAATTTTACCTTTATGGAAATTCCTCATTGTCATTAATGGAAGTTTTCATCTAAGAATGTGTGGGTTTGGAATAATGCTATTATTGATATGCATAGCCAGATAGGTTATGAACTATATCGCACTGAGGATATAGGGCCACTGGGACACTGAATTTGTCAGTGACTTCATATTCACGCTCCTGACTCTTGGTTAGCTTTTCCTGTCAATGCTAACAAGATCATCCACAAATGAGGGGCAGTAATCTTTCTTTTATTGGGACATTTGTACCTTTTGTTTCTGCTAGATGTATAAATATAAATATACATACAAATATACATAAATAAATATACTATATAGCAGTTCTTGGGATCCAACTAATGGAGCCATCCCATTCTCTGTGAAAATTAAGCTCCTCAGATATTTCCAGATCAAATTTTAAACCTTATCAATCATAACATCACTCAAGTAAATTTTAAATCTAGGCTTACTCTTCTTGCCATGGCCCATCCTATACCAAATTTCACACTCTCTGTTAAACAAAAGTGAAACTGATAACTCTAAAATTAATGTGGGAAACTCAGTAAAGTTAATTTTATTTTTACCATTCTGGATGTCAATAATACATTCTCCTTTATTTGTGCTTTAACTCAACATTTCAAAGGAAATAGTGGCCCTCCTTCAAATCTTTCCTTTGCAATGGTCACCTACAATAGCCATGATCTTACTAATGGGACCACAAGGATTGCTGAGTTGCCATGGGGACTGGTGGCCCCTTACCAGTCTTTGTGCCAGAGTTGCTTTCTCTTCTCTTCTACCAGGATGGTATGGAATCTGTGGGATAGCCTATCTAAGTGCACCTGTGACTGTTACAGACCAATCTCTGGGGTTAGTAGGAACAAGAACTACTCAAAACATGGGGTCCTATTTTGATCAATCAAAATATTGATCCAAAACGAGCACAATGTGGGTGGGTGATAGTAAATCTTGTAGTACACCTTGGTGTAACTATAGGTTATTGCTTTTTGTGGACTCTAATTCCTAATCTGGGGATGACTGGTGATAGATTCTCGTAGGAGTTGGTCTGGTGAACTTTGAAGACATGCTCATGATACATCTTCAGACATTCAACTCACCACAGCTGCCATTTCTGGCTTACAGTGGAACTTGACTTGGTAACTCCCATGCCTACAGAAAACTGAATGGCACTAAACATTCTAATTGCTGGACAAAGGGGAGCCTGTGTTATTAACCAATCTGTTGTTCTTACATCAGGTGACATCATCAGGAACATTCATGAGCTCCAAACAGCCCATGAAATCCATGTCATCCCAGGTAGTGGGAATTGGTGGGACCTTTCATCTTGACTTTCTTGCATCACCAGTGTACTTGAAGACAGTGAAATTTTCTTCTTTATTTTCAGATAGACTTTAACTATCTTGGGCATTATCATCCTTTTCTGGCTGTGTATTCACTGCTGTACTTCTCATGTACCTCTAAATTGATCTCAAGGTTAGTTTTGATATTCAACTATGAATGCTGATTATTTCTTTTTATCTCCAAAGATTCTATCTACTGTTTGCTATGGTCCTGCCTGCTATGGCCGAGGATTGCAGAGAGCTTCAGCTATCTGAATTCCAGGAAAATCTAGTAGAAGTCATTACCTCCTTAGGACTCTCCTCTCCCAGATTGGAATCCATGGGTCAGCAGGATGCTTGGTCTTCCTCACACTTGACTGGACATCCTCACCTGAGTGCTGTTCTCTCCAAGCCCATGCATAATGACTTTGAGTTGCTCCAGCAAGACCATTGTGTGGTTTGTGGTGACAAAGCTACCAAAGGTCACTATAAGGGTCCTGCGTGTGCTTCCTGTAGATGCTTCTTTGGAAACCAGATTTTAAAAGGAAGTGGGAAAAGTCAGTTCTGTAAGAATTCCATGAATGATTGTAAAATTACAAAATCTAACAGACAAACCTGTCCAGCTTGTCGCCTTAAACAGTGTTATCAAGCTGGCATGGCTCCCCGAGACATTAACACCCATCTGGGGATTCTTCGACGGGAAATTGAATTTCTTCCTCAAGAGAAAGTACAATTTATTTCTTCCCTTGTGCAGACACAGATTAATGAACTGATTCCCTTCCTTAACCTTTTACAATCCATGTGTTCCAAAAAAGAGTAATTTATGGCCTTTTAAAGATGTCCTTGTATTCTGACTAGCTGTTGTTGCTCGTGTTAAATTCTATATTTTGTTCTCATGAGCTTTTCTCCAGTACATCTAGAAATAGCCCTGTCAAGACATGCCACCATCTGGCTCAGAACAGGAAATCAAAGGGATGCCCATCAGTTGGGGAATGGCTAAACAAGCTGTGGTTTATGATTGTGATGGAATATTATTGTGGTATAAGAAATGACAAGCAAAGACTTACATGAACTGATGCAAAGTGAAGTGAGCAGAACCAGGAAAACACTGTACACAGTAACAGCAATATTGAATGACGAACTGTGATTGACAGCTATTCTTAGCACCACAATGATCCAAGATGATCCCAAAGGACTCGTGGTAAAAAATGCTACCCACATCCAGAGAAAGAACCAATATTGTTTGAATACAGATTGAAGCATGCTAATTTTCACTTTCTTTCATTCTTTTTCTTTTATTTGAGTCTTTTGACTATTTTGACTATTTGAGTAACATGGAAATGTTTTACATGATTGCACATGTATAACCTATAGCTGATCCCTTACCCTCTCAGGAAGAGAAGAGCGATAGAATTTGGAACTCAAAACTTTTTTTTAAAACGTTAAATTGTTTTTAACATGTAATGGGGGAAAATAAAATGTACATTTTTTAAAAGACATGGATGACAGGCCATCTGTGGATTCCTCCCACTTCCAAGGGGACACTGAAAGTTCTGTCTAGCTCTTCAGTATTTGATTCCAAGGAGCTGGCCTACACTTTAGTCTCCCTATTGCTTCTATCTTTGCCCTTCTCTCAAATTATTCCTGTGGTGTTTGTGGAGATCATTATGGGTATCATTATGGAACTTTTACTTGTAGGAAAGAAGCCTCTTCTTTAATGTATTATCTGGACTGGTAATTGCATTATTAATATGAGAAACCAGAGTGTTCACCATGCCATTTGAAAAAAATTTATTGGCTAGGTATGGAAAAAGGAGATAAGAAGGCTGAGGGACCTCATTCAGAGGACCTTCTGAAGAAGTTGGTGAAGCAAAGCCACATTCAGGCAGCAGGAACCTCTATATTAATCAAGACTGCCACCAATCTATCCCTAGAAATAGAGAGAAACTGGCTCTGGGGAGATTCAATGTCTCTCTCACAACTCAAATTGATTACTTTCCTTGATTATCCATGATTCTATTAGCTCCTTTCTTTGTTAAAAAATTAGTTTATTTTTAGTTTTCAATATTCACTTCCATAAGTTTTCGAGTTTTAAATTTTTCTCCCCCCAACTTCCCTCCCCAAGACAGCATGCAATCTGATACAGGCATTCCCATTAAACATATTTTCACATTAGTCATGTTGTAAAGAAGAATTAGAACCAATAGGAAGAACTACAAGAAAGAAGAAACAGAATACAACAGAAGAGAAAAAATAACAAATAATATGCTTTGATCTGCATTCAAATTCCATAATTCTTTCTCTGGGTGTGGATAGCATTTTCCATCATGAGACTTTTGGAGATGTCTTAGATCGTTGCATTGCTGAGAAGAGCTAAGTCTATCAAAGTTAGTCATTGAACAATGTGGCTGCTACTGTGCACAATGTCCTGGTTCTGCTCACTTCACTCAGCATCAATCCATACAAGTCTTTTCAGGTTTTTCTGAAGTCTGCCTGCTCATCATTTCTTATAGGACAATAGTGTTCCATTACATTTATATACCACAACTTGTTCAGCCATTCCTCAATTGATGGGCATCCCCTCAATTTCCAAGTCCTTGCCACTATAGAAATAGCTGCTATAAATAATTTTTGTACGTGTGGGTCCTTTTCCCATTTTTATGATCTCTTTGGGATACAGCCCAGAAGTGCTATTGCTGGGTCAAAGGGTATACATATTTTTATAGCTCCTTGGGTGTAGTTCCAAATTGTTCCCCAAAATGATTGAATCAGTTCACAATTCCACCATCAATGTATTAATGTTCCAATTTTCCCATGTCTTCTCCAACATTTGTCATTTTCATGTTTTGTCATGTTAACCAATCTGATAGGTGTGATGTGGTACCTCAGAGTTGTTTTGATTTGCATTTCTCTAATCAATAGTGATTTAGAGCATTTTTTCATATAACTAGATAGTTTTAAGTTCTTCATCTGAAAACTGCCTGTTCATATCCTTTAATCATTTTTCAATTGGGAAATGACTTGTATTCTTATAAAATGCAGTCAGTTCTGTATATATTTTAGACATGAGGCCCTTGTCAGAGACACTGGTTGTAAAAATACTTTTCTCAGTTTTCTGCTTCCCTCCTAATCTCGGTTGCATTGGCTTTGTTTCTGCAAAGCCTTTTCAATTAACGTAATCAAAATTATCTCTTTTGCATTTCACAACGTTCTCTATCTCCCGTTTGGTCGTTAATTCTTCTGTTCTCCATAAATCTTGACAGCTAAACTATTCCTTGCTCTCCCAGTTTGCTTATGTATCAGCCTTTATATCTAAATCACGTACTCATTTTGACTTTATTTTGGTATAGGGTGTAAGATGTTGGTCTGTGCCTAGTTTCTACTATCCTCTTTTACAGTTTTCCCAGCAGTTTTTGTCAAACAGTGAGTTCTTATCCCAGAAGCTGGAGTCTTTGGGTTATTAGCTCCTTTCAAAATTAGACCAATGCCTTAGTTCAAGTAGTTGTGCAAACTTTGGAACAATGGAAAGAGTTTGATACCCCTTTTACCAATCCCTAGGCTGACCTGTGACTCTACTATTGTCTTATGGTGCCTATTTTCTTATCAGTTTTACTCTCTGACTGAGTATCCTAGCATGATGGCTGCTCCACTCTTCAGAGGTAGTCTACAAGCCCAAGATACTCAAGGAGACCAGTTTGTTTCTGCTTACACCTACCTCTGGTGAGCCTTTGTATCCATCTATTACCACAGCTCAACAATGCTTAATGCCTTTTGGCTGTGCTGTAGATTGACAGCATGCTTTAACCTCTGATAGGAGAGGAGAGGAGAATGCTCATCAGGATTCCTTGACTCCTGTGCTGTTTGTCATTTGGGCACTTTTACCTGTCAAGACTGTACTGCTTTTTTTGGCCTCCATCCATTGAGAAAAAACTAATTCCAATGTTTTCAAGGCAACAGCTACCCTATTAATCTCTTCACTAGGAGACTAGGAGACATTGCTCGGCTTTCTGTTTGCAGGTTCCTTAAGAATCCTTGCCTGCTGAAAAGGGTAACAATAAACTTTTTGCAACTTGACTTAAAGATTGCTTGAGTTTGTGAATTCATTCCAGATGACCTGTCTTGTACTTTGGTTTTTGAGGGGTCCCAACCTCTCAGACCTCATCAGTACTACCTCATACCCATCAGATTGGCCAACGCGACAGAAAAGGAAAATAACAAATGGTAGAGGAGATGTGGAAATATAGGGGCACTGATGCATTGCTGGTGGAGTTTTGAACTGGTCCTGCCCTTCTGGTGAACAATTTAGAACCATACCCGAAGGGCATAATACGCTTTATGCATGCTCTTTGACCCACAACACCACCACTAGGTCTGCTTCCCAAAGAGCTCAAAGGAAAAGGAAAAGGAAACAAATGCACAAAAATATCTATAGCAGCTCTTTATATGGTGGCAAAGTATTGGAAATTGAGGGGATGCCCATCAACGGAGGAATGTCTGAACAAGTTGTGATATGTGATTGTAATTGAATTCTGTCGTGCTATAAGAAATGATCTGGATGCTTTCAGAAAAACCGAGACTTATATGAACTGATACAAAGTGAAGTGAGCAGAACCAGGAGAACATTATACATAGCAACAGCAGTATTGTACAATGATTAACTGTGAATGACTTAGCTATTCTTAGCAATATAATGATCCAAGACAATTCCAAAGGTCTCATGATGAAAAATGCTGTCCACATCCAGAGAAATAACTAATGGAATCTGAATGCATAATCGTACTATTTTTTCATTTTATTTTTTCAAAATTTTTTTCCTTTGGTCTGTGTCTTTTCACAACATAACTAATATGGAAATATGTTTTGCATGATTGCACCTGTATAACCTATATCAAATGGTTTACTATCTCAGGGAGGGAAGAGGTGAGGGAGGGAGAGAGAAAATTAGGAACCCAAATTTTTTGAAAAATGAATGTTAAAAATGTCTTTAAATGTCATTGGGGGAAATATTTTTAAAAAAAACTACAGTACAAAGGAGAAGATGAAAAAAAGGTCATGCTCTAACCCCCTCCCCCCCATTGTCACTCCGTAGGGGACTACCCCCTCTGTATTTTGCATCATCCACAGAGGACTGCCTTCTATGTGTCCTTAGGCCTCAGTGAAGAGGGGAATTGTGAGACTAATTTTGATCCTCCTCAATTTAATCAGTATTTACTAAATCATTATGATTTGATGGGTGTCAGCCATTGTATTATCGAGTTAAGTAGAATAGAACGAAGTTTGATTTAGTTATGTTAATGCTGTAAGAATAAGTCACAATTCACTGTTCTTCCTAATAATTCCAAGCTCTGCCTCAGTTGCCCCTTGTTGCAGATTAGCTTTTTTGTGGCCCACACTTTCATCTCTGCATAGAGCCCAGGGAGAAGCCAAACCGGCTTATTATAATTAGTGTTTAGTGTTTATGTCCTTATCATTATTGTTTTTCCTTGCATTGTTGTCAGGTGTTGATATTGATTTCTTGGCTGTGTCTACTTCACTCTGTATCAGTTCATGTCTTGCCATGTTTTTTTTGAGTTTTGCACAGTCATTTCTTACTGAATGGTCCCACTACTGGAAACCCATTGTCCCATGCTGCCTTCAATTGTATGATGAAGTTAAGGAATACCATATAGTAGGATGATAATAACAGCTTACATTTCTAGAACATTTTATAATTATAAGGAAGCAATGTAATGGATAGAGGGCTGGTTTTAGATCTAGGAAGACCTGGGTTCAAGTTCTGTCTTGGAGGCTTTTATATGTCAGTCTTCATGGAAGCTCATGGAGGGCAGGAAAAGTCTTTGTATTTTACTGGTATAATATTTGTATTTCCAGTGCTTAGCATACTGTCTGGCACATGGTGGGCTCTTGGTAAATGTGTGATCTTGGACCTTTCACTAGACTCAGGCAACCCTGGCCACTCTTTAAGATTTGACGTTTCCCAACTTGTGCTCACTTCCATCGATAGGAATCCCAGAGTTCCCTACAGCAAACAGATCG